TGAGATGGATACCACCAGGTTTGCTTCCTCTGAGATGGATACCACCAGGTTTGCTTCCCTTGAGATGGATACTACCAGGTTTGCTTCCTCTGAGATGGATACCATCAGGTTTGCACCAAGAGTGCACCAAATAATGTTTGGCCAATTTTGATGCAATATTACATAATGCTTTAAAACAGTATAATTATTTTTATCCTCTTACATTATGTACTACAGGTAACATGGATGTTAAAAAACCAGCAAGTAATTCAGTTTCATGGGCTATAAAAGACACTGAAAATGCTGTGTAAAAAATAAAATATTCAAACAAAAAAAAACAGAATAATTACAGTAAATGTAAACCAATCATGCCGATTTGCAAAGGCAACCTGCCTCTTTACAAACAAAAAAATAGAATAATTACAGTAAATGTAAGCCAATCATGCCGATTTTCAAAAGCAACCTGCCTCTTCACAAACAAACAAAAAAACAGAATAATTACAGTAAATGTAATCCAATCATGCCGATTATCAAAAGCAACCTGCCTCTTTACAAACAAAAAAATAGAATAATTACAGTAAATGTAAGCCAATCATGCCGATTTTCAAAAGCAACCTGCCTCTTTACAAACAAACAAAAAAAAACAGAATAATTACAGTAAATGTAAACCAATCATGCCGATTTTCAAAAGCAACCTGCCTCTTTACCAAACAAAGCCACAAAAATACGGTTTGGCAGTTATGAGGCAAACGTCACCAAAATTGTGCATAAAAAACAGAATAATTACCATAAATGTAAACTGATCAAGCCGTTTCTAGAAAACCAACCTGCCTGTTTACCAAAACAAAGCCACACAATAAAGTAAAGAAAAAAATACAGTTTAGCAGTTACGGGGTGAATGTCATGTGTCGGACGGCGACGACAGACACTTACAGTGTCTGTATACAAAAATGACAGTAGATAAATATCGATATCGTCAGGGAAGTTGCCACCTTTTAAGCCAACACACCGTCACCCTATTCATTTAACAAGGACATTCCATTTCAAGACCCCCCCCCCCCTCAGCAATATAACTTACT